CTGTTGGTCCCCTGTCATGTATGTTGCGATGAGTTGCTCGTAAAGGGGAATGAACGCGTTGCCCAAAACTTGGCGCGTCCAATCAACGAGATCATATTGGTAGGCAGGGTTGGAAAACAGTAAAGGCTCGTCAATACTCGCTCTATACAGAAGTTTCCAGGCCGTCACCACGACCGCGGGATCGTAGTTAAGGAGCGTCGGGTGATGGCCAGTCCGGTTGACCAGATTTGATGTGCTTGGCACAAGCTCGAAAATGGACTTAGGGACAGCATTAGCGACGAGATTAGTGTTGTTGAACACCGTCGGTCTTAGTATCTCCCAGGCTTCGTATATGCGTTTCGGAAGGTTAACGCCGCTAGCCCCATAGCGGACATCGACCCAATCGTGGAAGTACCTCTCAGTATCGATCGGAGTGTTACTCCAAGCCTGATCAAGTAGTAGATTATACATGATCTCGTTACCTTCAAGGCCCTCTGGGGTGAGTCCGAAGCCAACTAGCGTATCGCTAGAGTGAAGCGCTTCGATCGAATTGACCGTCACGTTCATGGCTTGTCCGTACTATAGAAGCGATTAGCATCTCGATACAGGGGAAGCTGACTCTAGGAGGACAAACCAATCCATAGTTACCGCCGTAATCGTGGAGTTGACACCATATCCAAGGTTTTCCGTAGAACGAATTGGTCCTCTGCCACTGCGGTTGGGATTCCGAAAACAGGTCTAAGATGAGCATGTCAGAGTTCACCGTGACGCCACCTAGAAACGCCTGAATGCGATCGTTCGTCCAGAAAGCCGAGCTGGACGCAAACAGCCATCCCTGCATAATCCAGATTGCGTCGGGGTCAGCCGCCTTGAGCGAGCTCCAGGTGTTCTTGCTCACGCTCTCAAGATAGCCCAAATCGCCTGAGGCAGGGTTGTTCTCATTAAACTGGTCTAGAGTCCAGAAATTTGTGACATTGCCGTAGTAGGATTTTTGCTTGGATATGAAACGGACCTGGAGCTCCTCGAATAGAGGGTCAAAGGGGTCTAGGAACGTGTCGTTTGTATACTCCGTCGGGAAGCTTTCCCAATTCGAGCCATTGGACACGTTAGCCGATGGAAAGACCCGAGTGATCGACCTGGGAGTGTAGCCGGGGAAAGCGGGCAAGATAGGCTTGATACCAAGCTCAACCATACGCTCGATGATCTTCAATTGCAGTGCGAATTGATCCTCTACCCACGACTCGGGCATGGACCTGCCCCAGGAACCCTGGATGTTACCGAAGTGGTTCCATGCGAGAAAGGCCGGACCGCTTATGAAGTCCTCCAGGTCGGCATCGGAGAAGCCCATTTCGCGGAAGACCTCGATATAGATCTTCTCAAACCCGATCCATGCGAGAGCGGTGTTGATCCCGCGAAGGGCCATCCAGTCGAGGTGTTCCTCCCATTCCTCCCATCCCCAGAATGCGAAGGTGTAAGATGTGGTCACTCCAGCCCCGGCCCGTTAGTCAAATTTCGATCTCGTCAAGTTCGCAATTGGCACCTACCTGTGTTCAGGTAGTACCGGTAAGGCACGACACTCGAGCCATTAAGAGGGCTGGAGAGAGCAGGGAGCTTCCGGGGCGCCGCATCCAATTGACTACCAATGAACCACCAAATATCGACATGAGCTTCGCTCGATAGGTAGGCGTGTAGACTACGCGGAAATCTTAGTTTTGCCAGGTTTATCGGCGCAACGAGGTTAAAGCTGTGCTTACCCAGCGAGTAGTGCGCCCACCGTGTTGCCCTGTACGAGGATTTTGCCATGGTTCGTGCTCGAGACGGCGTAGGTGTCATTTACGCGCTCGGTCTCCGTCTCCGTGGCATCGAGTGCGCCTACAATCTCGAACTGGAAAGATCCGGCATGCTGGGGCAGGCGGCGTCGAACCAGAGCTTCAACGCCGACGGTCGAGTTTGTGGTACGGAGCGCAACGGCACCGGCCGTGAAGACCCAGGCGATGAGGTTGAGGACACGCATCAGATCCAGCGCGGCGATCTGGTTACTTGGGCAAGATGGCCTATGCCTGCACCGCGACCAGACCAGACGGGTGAAGGACGCCACACCGACGGGAATAGGGAGCAGGACCAAGTTTATTACCTCTCTGGCTAACCCTCGTTGATATATGCCTATCTAGATAGCCGATCCATCGCGATTCCTCTGATCGGCAGGGGTATGAGGTATACCTACATATTATACCTACCGTACTTAGTAATAGCATCGAACTTACCTATGTAGCCCAGCTAGCTAAGCTAGGAGCCTGCTAGGAGCTACTACCCGTGATAGAGGCTGTTGCACTGTACGTTGCGTACTGTACGCAAGGTGTTGTTGTGGCACGTGAAGTTTGCCGGGGACGGCATGCCAGATGCTTACATAGAGGACTCGAATCCGCCTGCCAATAAGGCCCAGCGCCGTACGTCAACATCTGAATGTTTTCACTTTGCTCGTAATTAGAGATTCCTACGTTAAATTAAGCGGGATCCAATGGCCGGTAGAAGAGCTCGCTCGTGGGTGTCTAGCGTGCCTACCTAGACGAGCTAAGGTGCGGCCCCTGTCTCGGCGAAAGCCGGGGCCATGAATACGGTGCAAGGGCTTATTTATTTACCTAAGGTATCTCTTAAGGAAGGTGTGTATGCACTACATAGACATTTCCTGCTCGTTAATGATGACTCAAGATAGTTGAAGTTCGCTTCAATGGATGAAACACTGTGATACGAGGCCCATTACGTAGCTTCACGTTCGTTGTCAGCGTCTCAAATCATAGACGACTCGAGACCGCCGCCCTCAAACCCATCTTCTAACCCTTGGAATCTTATTGTGTAACCCTATGTACGCAAGAAATGGAGGATGAGAGCGCTCAACTTTTACCAATCGACTTCGACTTCACGAGGTACGCATATTCTAGTCATCAGAAACCCATTTGGTCGAGTATCTAGATTGAATCAGTATTTACTCTAGCTTCTTGAACAGCTCGCTCGCCCCGAGACGATGAGGTGTGTAGGATGGTCTGTTTGATCCATCATCATACCGCGGCCACCCATCACATCAGGGCCATCTCAATTGCTGTAGCTAAATGACTCTATTCGATAGCTGCCTATCTCTTTCTAATCGGCATCGCTTCAAGCTCTTTAGTGAATGGGAGGAAGTCGCGTTGTCCGGGAATGTATTTGCGTAATACTTCTGGAACAACAATTCCGTCGGGTGTCTGGTAGTTTTCCAGAACGCAGCAGAGGGTTCGCTCCGTGGCACAGAGGGTCTATCTCGTGTTAGCTGCGAGGGTACGTGAGGAGACAGGGAGGAGACAGGATTGAAATGGTATGAACATACAGCGTTCAGGGCATGAGCATAGACCTTCTTGGCAGAATCAGGAGCGCCCTTTTGTTTCTTAGGCCCAAATCTGATGCCCAATTCGCGTGTCTGGTAGTCAGTGCAGTTGGAGCATGAAACCAACTCCTTGTATTCCTTCTGGAAGGGGAAGAGCGCTTCGAGGTCGTACTTGGCCGACGCTGCGTTATTCAATGCTGAAGACACGATGGAAACGACGCGGTAAGGCAGTTGGAGAGCCTTGTAAAACTCCTCCGAAGCCTGGATCATCTCCTCGTAATGCTTCCAGCTATCCTCGGGATTGCAGATGACAAACTGCTCAATCTTCTCGAACTGGTGTATTCTGAATAGGCCCCACGTGTCGTGGCCATGCTTGCCAGCCTCCTTTCGGAAGCACGTGCTGTATCCGGCATACTTGATGGGCAAGTCCGAAGACTGCAGCCATTCATCGGAGTGGAGGGCAGAAAGCGGCTGCTCACTAGTCGCGATTAGATATTTCGCATCGCCCTCGCTTTCCGTGATCTTGTACAGCTCCTCGTCGAACTGAGAAAGTTGGGCAGTTTTGGCCATATATGCACCATCCATGAAAAATGGGGGCTGGTTGGGAGAATAGCCCTTGTTAAACAGAAACTCCAAGCCGAAATTGATGAGGGCCTGGTTTAGGAACAATCCCCAACCAGTCAGGCAGTAACCTCGGTGGCCGACCAACTTGGTTCCGCGTTCGGGATCGTAGCCTTCTAGTCGGGCCAGGACTTGGTGGTGGCTCAGCAGGTTGTCGCCCGTCTTGGGGTTTTCGGGGTTCCACGTGCGGATGACGGCGTTGTCGTCCTCGGTCGTGCTGACGGGGACTGTGGTGTGGACATAGTTGCCAACCGTCTTGAGCTTGGCGTCCAGCTTCTGCTGGAGCTCGGCAGCGGCCTTTTCCTGCGCAACGCGTCGCTGGGTTATCTCGTCCTTCTGCGCCAACAGGTCATCAATGGCCTCGCCCTTCTTCTTTCTCGCTGTGATGCCAGTCTGGACTGTCCTGAGCTCGGCGGCGATCTGGGTCGCGGCGTAGAGTGTTGTTCTGTGGACTTCCCAGAGCTCGATGATCTCGTCCACTATCTCGACGGGCGCACTGCGCTTCGCTTGGCTCTGTCGGATCTTCTCTGGGTCGCCGCCACGAGAGGCAATGAAGTCGGTGATGTCGAGCATCGCGGAGGCTTTCTGTGCACTTTTTTTGTATTGGCAAATCACTAGAAGAGCTGGAAATGCTCGAGAAAGACGCCGATACAAGCAGCGAAATAATTCAGATTTGGTCTTGACAGATCAAATGCCCCACCTGCAATTGTACGAGGGGCAGTGGAAATTTCGAAGTGCTCTTCCCCATGAGGTAGGAGGGGTAACGCTTCAAGTTGGCATTAGCGTTGTACTGTACGTACCTTGCTACGCTAGTGACTCATGAAGGGCGGTGAAGAGCGGCAGGAACGTCCGGTCGGGGATCATCGGCCTCGCTGTCTCGCTGTCGACACCGAAGTTCGTGACGCTGCTTACCTAGTCTTTTGTTCATTCGCTTTAATATTCACACAAAATATATTACCGGGTTTTCTCACTGAAATTCTGAAATTAAAGAAAACATAACATGAAATAAAGCAAAAATGAAAATATCAACGAGGAAAAAAAGAACCCCAATTGGGACTTGAACCCAAAGCCTTAGAGGCACTTGTTACGAATGACCGATTGTTCATGTCGTAGAAACTCTACGCGCTAACCATTGCGCCATTGGGGCATCTCTTGTTGGTTGTAATGTGTGACTCTATTGCTAATCATGTACCATGATAAAACCAAGAAAATATTACTCCCGAGATCTCTTAATACTAGAAAACCCAATCATATGCGCCGTTTTCTTAAGGGCGTTCACTCAGTGCTAACGCATATCATCGGAATCAATCATGGGCATACCTATACGCAGGCGTTGGCGCCCCCTCCAGTGCGCTTGATATGGTATCTCTGACAGTCTTCCGATTCTTTCTTAACAACAATACTATACGTCCCTATTCTAAATACCCTATGTCTCTCTCTCCCGACGACAAAGCTCCTTTAGTCCCCCAAAATATCGAGGTTCGGTGCGTTGCATGCCTTTTCAAATTATCTAATGATGTTCAACGTATACCTGGTGACATTCCATTTGCAAATGAGTTCAACCCATACCAACATCATGTGGCTCTTGAAAGCCTCCTCAAGTCAATTCAACGAGGCTGCCACGTCTGCACCTATATCGGTAACTCTATCGGTCCGTTTATCGGGACGAATTATTTTACATGGTCACGAAACTCCTTTGCATAGACCGTAGTGAAGAAAAGCTCACACCCCGAGCATACCAACCTCGTTTTATGACGTCTTTTATTCTTGTGAGGATTGTCCTAATAGTGATCGTTTAAACCGTCAATCGGCTCAACCGGAAGTGTTATCTGGTTGTGTGGAAGATATACACCATCCCTTCGTTGACAAGCGCTGCTCCGTCGTTGCTAGTACAGGGGGCGAAGGGACATCAACGCAGATCCAGAAATGGATAAGCGCTATCAACAATAGCCGGCGATCCTGTATGGCTTCACAGCCTTTTCCGAAGTCAGGAGTCCTATAGTGCGGCGTATGGCGATCACACAAACCTTCACCAGCGGAGGCAAGAATACTACCCTTGAACTTTTCCATAACAAACAGGTAGGTATCTAGTACCCGTAGAACTTAGTTGCGCCTCGAGCGTGGATTCAAGCAGGATTGGACCAGTAATGATTGAACCATCAACCATCATATCATCTCCTCCCCCTAATATTCCAGGAGACGGCTTGAGGACCTGTACAGAATACTTAGTAGTGCAACGAATACTAGGTATATGACAAGACATTGGTAATTAAAATCCCAAAAAGGGAACATGACTATTAAGACATGTCTAAACTAGCAAGGCAGCCTCTAAATTCGTCTAAACCGTATCATGTACAAACTGTAAACACCGGACAGATAACACACAGACCACAGCACACCCTAACTAAGCCTGTAGCGCCATTTCCTCCCTCGCAGCATGGCTTCCCCCACGCCACGCCTTCGTATGATCCGTATCCCGAGCCAGCGCCCTCCGTCCGCCGACAGGGCCCCATCCGCCTCCGCCGGGCGTGTTAACGATGATCCTATCCCCGGGCTTCATCGGCGCGCTGTTCTTCGCGCCCATGCTGATCCTGCGCTCCTCGTATTCAATCTTCTCCTGTCCTTCCCCGGCTTTATTGCCAGAGGCGTCGACATGCTGTCCCTGGGCCGCGAGGTCCTTCTCCGGGTTGGATTTGGCGACCTGCCGGACCCATATATTCAGCCCGCACTGGGCGTCCTCGCCGCCCGCGAGCCCGTAGGGGCGGTACACGCGGCGCTCGCTGAGGATCGAAACCTGCACGGGGATACGGAACTCGATGTCGCGCACCACGCCGTCGCCGCCGCGGTGCTGGCCCCTGCCGCCGGATCCCTCGCGGATCGAGAACTCGCGCAGGATCACCGGGTACCGGCGCTCGAAGACCTCCGAGTCCGTGATGCGCGTGTTGGTCATGTGCGTGTGCACGCCGCTAGTACCCTCCCATGTCGGTCCGGCGCCTGAGCCGCCGGCGATCGTCTCGTAGTACCCGAAGCCCTTCACCTCCGTCTCGCCGGATAGGTTGCCGCCGAACCCGAACGTTAGGTTGTTGCAGTCGCCCTGGCTGGCTGCGCAGGCTTCGAATGCCTTGAAGATGACGTCCGTGACGCGTTGGCTAGTTAGCACGTTGCCGCCTACGACTGCGGCGCCCGCTGACGGCGATAGCAGTGACTTAGGCGGGATCTTGACGTGGATCGGCTTAAGACACCCCTGGTTCAGGGGTATGTCCTCCGATATAAGACACCGTAAACAGTAGATGATGGCACTGTATGTTACGGCCTCTGGTGCGTTAATATTTCCGTAGACCTCCGGGCCGGTGCCCTCGAAGTCGAAAATAGCTTCGCCCTTTTCCGGGTCGATTGTTACGCGTAGGCGAATTGGCGTGCCATCATCCATGTAATCCACTGATGATAAGTCCTTGCCCTCAAATCTCTTGTATACATCTTTTAGCAGAGTTCTTACACATTGTTCAGCATTGTCCTGAATATTGACCATGTAAAACTGGACCGTTTCTTCTCCGTATTCTTGGATCAAGCTCTCAATGAGTGAGATACCTTTTTGATTCGCTGAGACTTGCGCCCTGAGGTCGTTGACGTTGTCTGCCAAGCATCGGGTACCGCTGCATCCAGGATATTGCGCCGGCTCCTTGTACAACAACTCCGTAATCCTCTGCTCATTGAATTTCCCTTCACTAACAATCTTCTCACTCTTGATTGCCGCGCCTTCTTGGAAGAGTTCCCGCGAGTGAGGAGGCATGCTCCCAGCCGTTATACCGCCAATATCTGCATGGTGTGCTCGTGAGGCAGCGTAGAACAAAATCTTTTCTCCCTTTTCGTCGAAAGCAGGCATCAAGAGGGTAATATCCGGCAGATGTGTTCCACCATACGAGGGATGATTTGAGATGATGACATCCCCTTTCTTTAGTTTGCCCTCCCAGATCTTAGCCTGTGTCCTTACACACGTCGACATCGATCCGAGATGGACAGGCAAATGCGGCGCATTGGCGACTAGACCTCCGGTAGCATCAAATATGGCGCATGAGAAATCGAGACGTTCCTTCACATTGGTGCTAACACTTGTCTTTTGAAGGGCTCGGCCCATCTGTTCGGCAATGGCCATGAATCGATGGCCAAAAATACTGAGCATGATCGGGTCAACCTCCCGCTCGCCGGCCTCTTTCTTCTGGGACCTAGACACATGTTAGTTACTAGCGAAATTCAATTGGTATGATAAACATACCCATCCTTACTGCCACTGCTCTCGAGATCGATGATGACATGCGTTTCAAGAATCAAAGCCTTGGCATTTGGCGTGACAACAATCGTCTGTGTTCCATCGGCGAGGACAGCCGGACCGCTGACCTCATCGCCGACGGCCAAGTCTTCTAATTTGTAGATAGGGGTCTCTCGGCGGCCCCCTTCAAAATACACCTGCGATTTGCCATAGGCTTTCTTGTCGCCAATAGACTGGCGTTTTACCTCCTTAAGCTGCTGATCGACCGTCTTGTCCTGGTATCGGAAGCTCTTGCCTATTCCTCGCACGCGGACATCATCCACAATAATATCTCGTTCGTCTAGGGTGAAACCGAATTCGTACCGGTGGTGTTTCACGAACGCCTTGCCGAATGCCCAGTCGTCGCCGTCGAAGAAAGCTTTAGCATCCCCTTCGCTAGGCTTTACAATCATGAGAGCCGACTCAGTTCCCCTGTAGCGCATGTTGAGATACTCCTCGAAAACAACCTCTTCGTCTTGGAAGCCCTGATCTCGAAGTGCCTGCCGAGACTTCTCCTTGAGCTTCTCCATCTTACTCTTCAGCTCGTTTACAACTTCGCCCTGGTCTTGCCATACTTTCGATTCGGGTTCTTGTCTCTCATCTACAACATCCGCTAAAGCCATACCGTATGCCGATAGCACAGAGGAATATCTGTGTACTAAGATCTGCTTGATGCCCAGGGCCTCCGCAATGGCCACGGCATGCTGACCGCCTGCTCCACCAAAAGTTGCGAGGCGATGCTTCGAAGAGTCGTGGCCCTTGGCTTCCGTGATAGATCTAATTGGCCGAGTCATAGCCTCGTTCGCGATAGTCAAGAAGCCATAAGCGACCTCGTCCAAGCTCATGTTCTTTCCGGTCTCTTTGTTAATCTGATCGGTAAGTTCCTGGATGACCTTCTTGCTAGCCTCGTAGTCTAACGCCTCATTCTCGTTCTTGCCGAAAATCTTGGGGAAGAAATCAGGTAAGAGACGCCCAAGGAACAAGTTGGCATCCGTAACCGCGGCAGGGCCGCCCTTCCGGTAGCAGGCCGGCCCAGGGTGAGCGCCGACGGATTCGGGGCCAACAACGAAGAGCCCGTTCTTGAAGAAAAGCCGGCTTCCGCCTCCGGCGGCAACAGTGTTTATATCGAGCTGGGGGGATTGGATGGTGACACCGGCTGTCGTCGTCTCGAAAACGTGCTCGTACCGCCCTTCGCCATACCGAGAAACATCCGTGCTCGTACCGCCCATATCAAACCCGATAACAGGGATCTTGGTCTCTTCATCATAACTTGTGATCGCGTATCCAACCACGCCACCAGCCGGACCCGACAGAATAGCCTTCAGGCCCGTGAACTTATCTACGTCGACCAAGCCGCCGTCGCTTTGCATAAATTCGCATCTGGCGCCCTTATCACCCTCTTCTTTTAGGACACTTCGTGTACCCAATCCGCCGGCGAAGCCCTTCTGGAAGCCAGCAATGTACTTCTTGATAGCCGGGGTGAGGTATGCATCGGCACATACGCTCGTCGCACGGGAGACGAGCTTAATCATGGGCATTAGCTCATGACTAAGCGAAATGTGCTCGAACCCGACATCTCTCGCGATTTTACCGACCAGGGCCTCGTGGTCGGGGAAAGTATAACCGTGCATTAGACAAACAGCTATGCTTCGAATACCTTTATCGTAAATGCTCTTGAGCTGATCCTTAATCTTGTCTTCTTTCGGTCGTTGAAGTATCCGGACAGCTTCACCCGACAAGCCCATGACCAGATCTGCATCGGCCGCCTCCGGAGACCCAGCCTTCGCCTCTGCCTTGGTGATGGTCCTAGCCGGGTCTTCCGCATAGTCTTCAAGTGTCAC